GCTTGGCACCCAAGACTTCTTTCTATTTGCTTCATCATACACACACACACGAGCTTAAATTTCAGCTTATCTATTTTAAGGCAGTTGCCTCTCTTTCATCTGCTGTCCAGCTCCTAATATTTGTGGTCATCTCTCTATGTTGTTGTCCCTTTTCTTCATCTCTTTGTTTACTGGTATTTCTTTTTTTAATCCTTTACTGCCATTTTAGAAGATGCTGGGGGAGGAGCCAAGAAGAAACCACGTGTTCACATCAGCAAGTTTAACCAAAAAATCCTCTACCAGTTACTAATTCCACTTAAAAGTCACAACATTCCTTATTGCCATGAGGGGAATTAGGCTTATTTATCAGTCAATTTGTAAGTATTTGCTGAGAAACTCACATACCATATGGAAGATACTGCTGTAGAAACAAGAAAAAGTAGAAGCTAATTTCCCTCTCTCTCCTGAGTTCCTGGAATATATGGATCATGCATCCCTTACCGTTCTTCTTTGCACCTCCTGAACCATCTCAATGATGATTATTTAATAATTGGTAAATGTTTCAATATTATCTGTGATAACAGTCTTAATGCTCAAAGAAAGTCCAGTTCATCTAAAAAGTAGATTATGTTGGTGGATAGACAGATACAGGTAAATAATAAAAAGCAGTAAATCCTAAAGGGATAACACTAGTGAAGTCAAGCTGATTTGAAAGCTAAAACAAACAAAACAAAGAGAGATTAAGCAGATTAGCCAGCATCACAAAGTATTACAATCACCCTCCTCTTGCCTACTGATACCCAGGGACTGAACTTGGGTCTCCTGAATTGCAGGCAGATATTTTACTGATGGAGGCACCAGGGAAGCCCTTTGATGCCCAAACATGATAGAAAGTGTGTTTAAATCAGCTTGACCCCAGAAGCAAGCAGCACAGTCAGAGCTTCTGGCTGGAGGGACCAGGTTCCCAGCCAGTACCACTGCTGTGCCCAGTGATTCACAGGGGCCTGAGGCCCCCTGAACGAGGGACTAGGGGTGCATGGGAGGCAGCCTGTAACAGGACAGGCTACACACTCCCAGGGCAACTCTGCAGGACGTCTCAGCATTGCAAACTTTAGGAGAGATGAGCCCTGCAGGACCATGGAGTCATTACCCACCCCCACCCCCATAGCCCTTTCTCCTAAACTCTCTCTGGGGCAGCGGGAAGATCTGGATGATGTGATCTGCTGTTATCTCTGTCATGTAATCTTGAGCATCTTCTCTGGGTCATCATTTCCACACACTCTGACATGCAAAGTCTGAGCCCCAGGGCAGGCCCGCTTGATGATGGGGAGCCCGAGATTGACTCTGGGGCAAGCATCCCAAATTCCAGCCCAGACGGTTGGTCCCAGGCCCCCTGCTTCTCTCACAGGCATGCTGCCTCCTACACGTCACTTGAAATCATGGGGTCTGCTTTTGCCAGTGCTGTTTTCTCCTCCACTGTCCCTGACCCTTGCCCTCCTAGGGGCAAGCACCAAGGAGTGATGCAGTGGTTCAAAGCGGACAGAGAAAGGGCAAGACGTGGCATAGGTCCGGAGCAGCTGAGATGCACTCAAAGCCCAGGCGGTCTCTGGGAGCAAAGTCAAAACCACCCAAGAGATCTGAGAGACCCTCTGACCTCAGGTGATGTCAGTAAGGTGGCACAGAACCAGAGCCCCTGACAGAGGCCTCTTGTTCGAGAGAGAAGGGTTTATGCAGACCCAGGTGGCTGAGCAGTAAAGAACCCACCTGTCAATGCAGGAGACACAGGTTCGATCCCTGGGTCAGGAAGATCCCCTGGAGGAGGAAATGGCCACACACTCCAGTATTCTTGCCTGGAGAATCCCCTGGATGGAGGAGTCTGGCGGGCTACAGTCCATGGAGTCACAAAGAGTCAGACACGACTGAGCACACGAAACGATGCTTATAGATGACAGAGCAGGAAATGAGGGAGAGAAGGTGGACAGAGACGGGGAAAGACATGAACTCTGCCTTGCAGAAGAGAAACGGCCACCCTGGGCTTGCTGAGATAATTCCCTGGAGAGTGTTGGAGGGTTTGCGTAGAGGCTGGTCTGTGAACCCCCATCAGACTTCTCCAGCATGTGGGCAAAGGAAGCAGCCTTAAGCCCTGCCTGGACTCCCAGACGGGAGTGGGAGGGCTGAGTCAGAGCGCTGGTGAGGAGCGGAGTACGCTGAAACCGCAGTCTTCAAGTGAGGCTGAGCATCCCTGCTCCAGCGGCCTGATTACCAGGACTTTGATGGCTCAGTCACTGGTTTTTAAAAGTCCCAAGACTTTCAGGCTTTTACTTCTGATCCTGGTTGGAATCAGCCATCGAAGGCAGATGTGTGAATCAGGCAGGGAAATCAAAGTAAACTTACACAAAACCAGAAGTCAAGACAGAAAGCGACCGCCCTGTCCCGCTGCTGTGGCCCAGAAGTCCTTTCAGTTTCATCTTTAAAAGTCTCTAACCAAATGACTGGCCACATTTTTCTTACAGGGTCTTGAACACCCTGGTTCTTGGAAGTCAATGGGGGAGGTCAGACGGGCTCAGCTGATGCAAGAAAGTGTTCCAGATGAGAGATAAAACCAGGCAGAAGGGGCGAGGGGCCCTTCGCAGGTGGAAGAGACAGGAGGGTGAGGACCACCAACTCCTGGTGAACAGTGGGGCCACTCCAGACAGACGGCGGCAGCGTCGGGCACTGCATAAGCGGTAGCCTGTGTAATCCCCAGGGGAACCCTCTGAAGAAGGTGTTCACAGGCGACCGAGCTGAAGCTCAGGCTAGTTCAGAGGCCAAGCAAGAGCACGCTTGTGGCAAAACTGGCATTTGAGCCCAATTGCCTCTAATTCCGAAGCTGACAGAGTCTCCACGCCAGGCAAAAAGAGAAGCACCATGCTCTGTAACTTCAAACCACATCCATGCAGGCCAGTCCATCTCACTGTCTCCCAGGGTGAGTTCAAATCAGAGAAAGTTCTAAAACGGAAAACCCCAGGATGCTAGTCCTTATCAACCTTTATGCTGTTTCACAGCCAAGTGTCAGGATGGGCAGCGAGTGGGGCGAGGATCTCCCCATCCCTCTCCCTTCTCCCCTTCTCTCTCTCTTTCTCTCTCTCTCTCCCTCTCCGTCTCTCTCTCTTTCTTTCTCTCTCTCTCTCTCCCTCTCTCTCCCTCTCCCTCTCTCTCTCTCTCTCCCTCTCTCTCCCTCTCCTTCTCTCTCTCTCTCCCCTCTTTCTCTCCCTCTCCTCTCTCCCTGGTTCTTTCTCCCCCTTTCTCTCTTCTTATCTCTCTCTCTCTCTCTCTCTCTCCCTCTCTCTTCCTCTCTCTCCTTCTCTCTCTCCGGCTCTCTCTCCCCTTCTCTCTCTTTCTCTCTCACCCTCTCCCTCTCTCTCCCTCTCCTTCTCTCTGTCCGTCTCTCTCTCTTTCTTTCTCCCTCTCTCCCTCTCTCCCTCTCCTTCTCTCTCTCTCTCTTTCTTTCTCCCTCTCTCCCTCTCCTTCTCTCTCTCTCTCCCACTCTCTCTCTCCTTCTCTCTCTCTCTCCCACTCTCTCTCTCTCCCTCTCTCTCTCTCTCCCTCCCTCTCTTGGTGGGTGAAGCCACTCAGTTTTTGCCAACTCACGTTCCCCACTCCCACCCAGCCCCCACCGGCTCTCCTGCCTTCTGATCTGCAGCAATGTATTCATGTATTCATTTAAAAGTTCTGTCTGTGCTGAAGCCCGCGCTGCTTGTAATTGCTGGCGGCCAAAAGCTGTTCTGTTTTTTCTGGCTGAGTGTACCAGGCAATCATCAGCTGTAATTATTTCGAGTCTTGTTACAGATGGAACTTCGAGGTTTTCAGTCTTAAACGGAATTCATTATTCAAATGTCTCCGGAGCTCACAGGAAAGGGCAAGGGGCAAGCCCCCCGCTGACCCGGGACACCGCAGAGGGTTTGAGAGATGAGGGTTGGCCGGGTCATCGGGCCCCACCGTGATTCCATGTGCCTTTAGCCCCAAACCTGGAAGCCGGAGCCCCCAAGTGCCCAGGCCACCTGCTCACCCTCGTGACTCCGGTTCAGCCCCGCTCACGCTTCCATTTCTCCACCGCAGCGTTTCCAGGGCACTGATGTGACCTTGCGCATCTCCCTCCTCCACACCCAGAAGATCACATTGGGTGTGTCTTTAGCTCCTCCAAGTGCACCAGAGTCTCTCCCTCAGAACCCTCCTTGGGTGAACAAGGAGTTTCCTGGGACCAGAGCTGATTTGAGAACCAGAGAAGCAGCTCGGGGGAACAGCAGTTCTCACGACACCAGCTCCGCTGCGGTCAGGCTCCAGCCCAGCTTCGAGGTGTCCCAGGCCTGGGGCTTCACAGCACATCAGAAAGGTGTCCAGTCAGCACCCCATCTAGTGAGGAGGAGCCCCAAAAGGAGGAGTGGCTGGTGAAGAGGTCAAAGTTGTGTCTCTGGAGACCCCTGACCAGATCTGCAGGGAGAGCCTGTGTGGGGCCAGGCTCTGGAGGGGCCCTTGGAGATAAGCTGCTGGAGGACAGAGGGTTTGTCACAATGTTTCCATCAATGTGTCCTGCTCCAGAGAGGAGAAGGTCGGGGGATAGAGACGCACACGCCCAACAGGTCCAGCGAGGGATAAACAATGATCCCCACCCTTCTCATAACAGCTCCAGATTCTTTACTACACCAACTAAACCTTAAACACCAATAATACCGTTATCACTCTAAAGTAGTGTTATTGCCCTCACTCTGGAAAGGAAGACACTGAGGCTCAGAGAGGGTCACACAGAGAAGGTGCATGCCACTTTGAAAACAAGACTGAGAGAGAAAGAGACAGGGACAGGGGAATCTACGGGGATGAGAGGAAGGCCTTGCCCTTAGAAATGGAAGCAACGTCCCACTTCCACACAAAGACCCTGGGAGAACCCAACCAGACCACACATATTTGATCAGCAGGGCGGGAGAGGAGCATAGAGCTCAGGTTCTGGGAATCCTCCAGCGCCTGCACGTGGGGACCACACTGACCTCCTCACAGTGAAGGGGGAGCCTGGGGACAGGGAACCCAGCTGGGCCACTTCTAGAGCCATCGCCTTTTCCAAGTCCTGCCTACAAAGGTGTGATGGGGTTAAATTAATCCAGCCTTGAAGGGTTCATCAGCTGATGGACTTATAAACTTCTCTGGACCTCCAGTTCAGTAAGTAGATCAACATAGCAACGGAAAGTTCTGCAACGGGATCCATGCTCCAAGGGTCCATGGCTTGCCCCGAAACACCAGATAAGATGCCCCAGGATCTGGGGGAGGCTCTGGACCATCCAAGCAGAGAGAGAAAGACCTTCCTATCAGGGAGTCTCCTGGAGGCAAGCCTGCCAACTGCACTGACCCCTCCAGAAGGTGGCCTCTCCACAGCCAGGGCTCCAGCAGCTTGCAGTGAGACCTCCCTGGAGAGCCTCACAGTCTTCGCTTCCAGCCCATAGGTGTCACTGAATTCTCTGTGCCCAGTAACATCTCTTGAAACCTATGATGCACTGCTGCCAACGTGCTAGCAAAAACACTCTAGGTGCTTATCAAACACCCGTCCATGTGCCATGGACTCTGCCGGCGAGAGCGCAGGTAGGTAAGTAACAAAACATGGATGGGCAGAGAGGGGCTGTGACACCTTCCCTAAACAGGGCTTGGGCCCCAGGCCTGACCCCCTCAGCTCTAGGATTCCAAGAGGGGAGCAAACAAGTGTCTCCTCTCTCTCCCTGTACAGCTCCAGAAGATTGCTGGGGTCTGGCAGAGTCTCTGCCACTTACCAGCACTAAATCTGCCTTATATGTGTTTATTTTTAAAAATTTAAAAGCCCCAAGAAACGCAATTAAAACATTATAATTATTTGTGTTGGAGTATTTGCTTTTTTCAGCCCCTATTAAAAAAATATGCAAATTTGGAGAAATTTTAGCTCCTAGTAAGCCTTCTGCCTTTCACTAGATCCAACATATTAGCTTTATGGAAATGTGTTGGTCGGGTTCCTTTAAAAATGATTGTTGCTTGATTTTGCAGGTTTTCTCCCCACTTCCCTCTCAAACTGGAAAAGAAGTAATTAGTTGCTGAGGGTTTTGTCTCTGTGTGTCTGCCTCATCTCCAGCCCAGAATGGCCAGTCACTCAGGTGGGCGTGACAGAGTAAGAGACACACAGAAGCATCCTCAGATACTATGAGGTGCCTGGGGCTGGGGAAAGGGGCAGACCCAGATTTTCATACTATCTTAAATTAATTTTTAATCAGTTTTCTAAAATCATCAAAGCACTTCACAGTGTTTTATTTACTCTAAAAATATCCCTGGAAGACTGTCACTGAGCTGGGACCGTACCCGAGGAAGCAAGGTTTCGAGCAAAACGCCGTGGCTCCAGGCCCCACGGCAAGTCCCCCACCCACACAGTGGCCCAGAGAACCGGTGTGCGTGGTCGCCGGAGAGCGCTGCCCAACTCGGCAACCAGACGTGAAGAGCTCCCGAGTTTCTGCCTGAAGCTCTCTCTACATCCCGGGAATGCCCGCCCTCTTCTCTGACATCTGATAACCTGCTTTGGTTAAAAACAACCAAACAGATGTTTGCTGACCTAAGTTTAAGAGAAAAAGCCTTCCTTGGAAGGAGGCTGGCTATGTTCCCTGAACTGAGCCATGGGAAGGCCGGGAAGCAGCACGGTGGCCCCTGGCCCCTCTGGTGTGGCCCCCCTGAGAGAGCCTGCCCCTCCCCTGGACCGCAGCTGCCCTGGCTCAGGTTAGGCTGGTCCCGACTCTACGTGCTGCCGGGCAGCTCCAGCAGAGTGCTTTGAGGAGTGGAGAAGGGGCGACTCGCCACTGGAGGGCTGGGGGGAGGGCAGGATGCTCTGAGAGAACCTCACAGATAAGGATGCCGCCGTGCTGAGGGGTCCTGCCTGAGGTCTCAGTGAGAACCCAGGAGTCCTCTCTCCCGCCCACGACCCACCTCCAGCCCTTGTGGGAGACCACCCTGTAAGTCAAGTCTGCCCAGGCTCGTTCCCGGAGACAGTGCCCTCCGGCTCTTCTCACCGCAAACGGTACAGCGGGACAGGGGAGGCAGAAGGAGACAGCAGGCACAAGCCCATCACAGACCTAGGTTTTCTGGTCCGACTTCACAAATATCACTCATTTCCGGCCGCTGCTGGCTCTGCGAGGTCTCCGTTTCCTACTTGTCCTCTTTGCTCTGTCTCTCTTGCCAGGAACTGACCTGCTAAGGGCTTGGCATCAAGCAGGGCAGAGTCGGCTGCGCTGTCTCCTCTTGCTGGCAGGCGGGTGAGTTTCTCCCTCTGAATCCCTTCACGTAATCCAACTCCAGGGAGCCTACCTGAGCCCCCGGGGACTCCTGGGGGCCTATCTCCTATTGCGATCTTGCTCTCCCTCTTGGCTTTCACTGGGGAAGTAGGTCCCTGTCTCTTCCATGCTGCATGTGTCCTAGGAAGACTTGGCTCTTCCTTGGTGCTCTGGCCCAAAGTCACCTTCTAGGTGGTAAGGCTGAAGGGACCAGATCCCTGACTCTTTCTTCATCACTCCCCTGCTGCTCCCCAGTTTCCTACAGTCTGTAAAGAATTGGTTTGGAGAATCAGCCCCTGGGGCACCCAGAGGCTGGATTTTATGGCTCACACCTGGGCCCAGGCCTCCCTCCTGATGTGTTCAACAATTGTACTTCACACTGGCGTGAAGTCATAGAAAACTGTGGCTACTAGAACCATCCATGACTCAGAGCTGAGAGACACTGGAGACACCAGATGATTGACTGAAATTACAAGCAAAACTCAATCATAGAGAATGTAACAGATAAAACAGGGTGATAAACAGGATAAACAGTATGGCTCAGGTGTCTACTGCTGCCTAACCAACCACCCCAATTCCACCAACATCGTTTGTAGAAATTGACGAGCAGATTATAAAGTTTGTATGGAAGTGCAAAACATCTAGAAAATCCAAAACAATAGATTAAAAAAAATCAAAGCCAGAGTACTCACACTTCTAGATTTCAAATTTTACATAAAGGCACAGTTATCAAGACGGTGTGGTCTGGGCATAAGGTAGGAATATACATCAATGGAAGAGACGTAGATAGAAGCAAACCTTATGTTTCTAATCAACAGGTTTTGACAATGGTGCCCAGGAAATTCACTGGGGAAAGAAGAGCCTGTCCAACTAATGATTCTGGAACAACTGGATAGGAAAAAAAGAATGAACTTAGACCCTTAACTCAGCTCAGTTCAGTTCAGTCACTCAGTCGTGTCCGACTCTTTGCGATCCCATGAATCGCAGCATGCCAGGCCTCCCTGCCCATCACCAACTCCTGAAGTTTATCCAAACTCATGTCCATCGAGTCGGTGAGACCCTTAATTCAGACACCACCAAAAAATGAACTCAAAACAAACTGTTATCCTTCACATGCAAGGAATAGTCTTCTTCTACGTGACCTAATGGAGTAGAATGAAAGAACACTGGATATAACGATGTAACCTAAGGGGAGAAAAGACTAAGACACAGACAAGGGAGGTGGTTTCCCAATCAAATAAGGAGATGCTGAAATCTCAAATCCTGAGAATATTTGAGAAGCATCGTATGCAAACCCCATTTTCTTGCTGAAATCAAGCTCACTTGCTGCTTTCCCCATTGGACCTAACAATTATCAACAAATGTATGCAAAAATCTCCCACCAGGAAAGTGGATCAATCCACTTCCTCCTACAGCTCTATCAATTTTTACTTAATACACTTTGAAGGATTTCATACCGCATCCTCATGGTTAAAATGCACACTGTTTTATTACGCAGTGACCATCTCCATCTCCAGAAATGTCTTCAAGTCTACTTTGTCTAATGTGAAGATAGCCAGGTTACCTTCATTTGGCCAATTTGTCCTCACACGTCTCTTTACTTTCTACCTTCATGTTACCTCACACGGAGGCAGCTTCCACTTCCCAACATTTGTTCCCAACATTCAAGTTTCTTATGTGAAAAGAATGAATCAGGAGTCTAGTGCCCTTTGTTTTATTTTTCCAACAATCCATTACATATCAGTCAAAACTCCTGATCTATTTCCTAAAATAAAATCCTTAAATGTCAGTAACAAATTTAATTATTCCTTCTCAATCACCAAAAATTTAGCATGGCTGTAACTAAAGTTTCCTCACATGCTGGAACGTCTTTACTGTTCAAACATTTTTCCTACTCATTTTGCTTCCCTTTTTGCAACTTTCTTCCACATTTTCTCAACATTCTTGGGGATGTGTTTTTACAACATGAAGCCAAATACCAAAGACCTTTGGAAACATGCTGAGAATAAGTGCACAGTGACAGAGAACTGCTCAACTGAGAATGACTCGGAGATGCTTTTCAGCAAAATTCAAGAGAACATCCTCCTTGCTAACACTTGTCAAGATTTTCAAAATCTCTACACATGATTTCACCAATTGTATTTAGAACGTAACTTGTTTTTTTCCCTGAGATCATTTTGCTAAAATTGAGTTGAGCTTAGTGGGTATAAATGTAATACTTCCCCATTACAACACTGGATGGGAAATACTGCACTAGGAAGTATGTATGTGCTGTAAAGATTGGCTGGTAAAAGAACTTTCTACCAGAAAAATTTGAACCACAGGGAAATTCTGCAGTGATGACTGTACCTGGATATTTCCTAATCAAGTGTATCAAGATTTGTCTTGTAAATGGTGAGTTTAGACTATTTATATTTATTGTAATATTGATATCGTTCCTACCATAATAGTTATTTGTTTAGCTTATCCTAAATGTTTTGTATTTCCATCTATTCTGAACTTTTTAAAAAATATTGTTATTTTCCCCAAATTACACAGGAATTTTAGCTCACTTTTAGGTTCTCTGATCTCCTTCCCAGCACCCGTGATATTTATATTACTTTAGACTTGCAATTCTGTGTCACCATGAATAATTTCCTTTTTTAAAAGACAACATATTTAGGTATTTTATTACCTTTACTTCTTTTAGACTGGTAAAATAATCTCAATTATTGTCTCCTAGTATTTAAGTGTTTCAACCAAAACTGTTTGCAATGTGGATCTTCGTGTGACAAAGACTATGTCTGAGAGAAACT